AGGGATGATGAGCGAAAAGTGGTCAGAAGTGCTGCTTAAAAGAGTTTTATATCGACACTGATAATTCCCAGGGAACACAGAGAAAGTCTCTATAGAAATCGTGCTTATTTTTGAAAAAGATCGCTGCATTCGATACATTCAATGAAAACGAGAGCGCGCAAAAAAAGACCGTTAATATCGAGCGTGTCCAACATGCTTGCAAAAGTTATTTTACGAGTATATACTTATGTATTGTATATAAGAACATACATAAGTAAATATTTATAAATTCTTGCATATACACGTACATGTAGACGTATACATACGTACGCGTATTTATCTAGTCTCATATTAAATTTAGATGTTCGCTAGACTAATAACCATTACTTTACACACTTTACGTAGCAAGTTCGGATGTAACCGAACATTTTATACTCTCGCAAAATCAAATGGTATACTCGATTTCTTTGTGGATTGACTGATATTTTCGGTAGAAGGTCAACTATAGGCACTGGGGTCCACATATTTAGTATTTAGGGGCTTGAACAGTTCTGGATCGATTTAGACAATTTTTGGTCACAAGGTGGCATACTTTAAACGTATTATTCACGCAAAGTTTTACCCCAATATAATCATTGTTGCTTGATATGCATAGTGGAAAGTGAAGGAATCAGATGGAATTGAAAATGGTTATATGGGAAATAGGCGTGGTTGTAGTCTGATTTCGCCCATTTTCGCACTATGACATAGAAATATAAAAAGAACGTTATACACCGCAGATCCAAAGATATGGGTTTTCACCTAAAATTGGGCGGTGCCACGCCCACTGTCTAATTTTGAACGCAGCTCCTATAAAGTTATCTCATACCATCCAAGAGATAAAATTTAATGTCTCTGGCGTGTTTCGTGCTTGATTTATCGCGCTTTTAGTAGTTTTTAACAGCACCGTTATATGGGAGTGGACGGAATTGACACCCGATTCCAAATATTTTCACACTGTAGGTAGAGGTGCTAAAAAATTTGCTTCCAGTGATCTTTGTTATTATAGCTTTAGCGGTTGAGGAGATATGCACGTTAAACCTATTAGGGGCGGGACCACGCCCACTTAAAAAAATTAAATTTAACTGCAGGTGCCTAATGTGATCCTGTGTACCAAATAACAGTCTTCTATCTTATTGCGGAGCTTAGTTATGGCAATTTATTTGTTTTTGATGAATAGCGTTTTTGTGGGCGTGGCAGTGGTCCGATTACGCTCATCTGCAATACCAACCGTCTCCCGGTACCAAGAAACATGTCTACCAAGTTTCATAAAGATATCTCAATTTTTGCTCAAGTTAGAGCTTGCACGGACGGACAGACAGTCACCCTGATTTCAACTCGTCTCTTCATCCTGATCATTTATGTATACATAACCCTATATCTAACTCGATTAGTTTTAGGTTATACAAACAACAGTTAGGTGAACAAAACTATTATACTCTGTAGCAATAGGTTGCGAGAGTATAAAAATGAAAAGACGATAAGAGCGAAAAGGAAACTTCCTAATTGTTGTCCACAATGTATTGTTGGTAAAGTCATTTGCGCTGAGGGCGTTCAAGTTTTTTTGACGCTTATAAAATTGTTAAATAACATTCAAACAGGATATATCTCGAATTCCATGCAAACACAAGCTTACAATTTTCCGCAAAACTATAAATGAAATATATAATGTTAGCTTTCGAAAATATGTTATATTACTTAAATAAAACAAGAGTTATTTTGTTTTAAATATATGCATATGTATGTATTATATGTACCCTACAAAAATTTCTTTGTAGTATGGGCGGACTATATCTACTTATCTATATATATAAAATTACGTGTCATTTTTTTCCGGGGTAAACTCGTAAGCTACTGATTTTAGTACAATTTAGCATACTGTGTCCAGTTTGTACCAACTTAAAAGATAGAATAGTTTATATCTCAAATATGTTAAAAGTCACAACAATTCATAAATAATAATATATTTCTAAACATATCATATGCATGTATTCATAATTAAACAAGTAAGGAAGGGCTAAGTTCGGATGTAACCGAACATTTTATACTCTCGCAAAGTCAAATGGTATACTCGTTTGAGATTTCTTTGTGGATTGACTGATATTTTCGGTAGAAGGTCAACTATAGGCACTGGGGTCCACATATTTAGTACTTAGGGGTTTGAACAGTTTTGGTTCGATTTAGACAATTTTTGGCCGCAAGGTGGCATACTTTAATTGCATTATTCACGCAAAGTTTTACCCCGATATAATCATTGTTACCTGATTTGCATAGTGGAAAGTGAAAGAATCAGATGGAATTGAAAATGGTGTTACATGGGAAGTAAGCGTGGTTGTAGTCCGATTTCGCCCATTTTCACACTATGACAATGAAAAGAACGTTATGCACCAAATTTGGTTGAAATCGGTTAAGCAGATCTCAAGATATGGGTTTTCACCTAAAAGTGGGCTGTGCCACGCCCACTGACTAATTTTGAACGCGGTTCCTATAAAGCCAATTTATACCATCTCAGAGATAAGATTTAATGTCTCTGGCGTGTTTAGTGCTTGATTTATCGCGCTTTTAGTAGTTTTTGACAGTACCGTTATATGGGGAGTGGGCGGAGTTGCCACCCGATTTCAACTATTTTCACACCGTCAATAGAAGTGCTAAAAACATTTGCTGCTTGTGAATTTTGTTATTATAGCATTAGCGGCTTAGGAGATATGCACATTAAACCTATTAGAGGCGGGACCACGCCCACTTTTTAAAAAAAAGTTTTAACTGCAGATGCCCCTCCCTAATGTGATCCTGTGTACCAAATAACAGTCTTGTATCTTATTGCGGAGCTTAGTTATGGCAAGTTATTTGTTTTTAATTAATGGCGTTTTGTGGGCGTGGCAGTGGTCTGATTACGCCCATCTGCAATACCAACCATCTCACGGTACCAAGAAACATGTCTACCAAGTTTCATAAAGATATCTCAATTTTTACTCAAGTTAGAGCTTGCACGGACGGACAGACGGACGGACGGACAGACAGTCACCCGGATTTCAACTCGTCTCTTCATCCTGATCATTTATATATATATAACCCTATATCTAACTCGATTAGTTTTAGGTGATACAAACAACCGTTCGGTGAACAAAACTATTATACTCTGTAGCAACAGGTTGCGAGAGTATAAAAAAAAATTATTATTGTGATAATATTGAGTAAAATTCCAAATTAAAAATTTCATTATTTTTCCCATTAATAAATATTTGTATTAATCAGTTTCAAAATTAAACCTCAAATGCAATCACTTGGATTCTTAAGGGAGCAATAACGTTTTTGTCTTTATTCGTATATACAATTTTTTCCGCTAAATATGTAAATATATGAAATTAAAAACCACCTACATACATACGTAGTATGTATATAACACATAGTATGTAAATATACGGGTTTTTCTTAATTTCAAGCAGCTTGATGCCGTGCCTTCATTATATCTACATGATGTAAATAGATTTAGATTAGTTCAGTGGCAATGGTGCACCTTCGCACAAACTTACATTGAGTACACCCTAGTTTTGGATCTCAGTCTAAATGTGGACTTGTAAAAACTGCAATGTGAAACCATGCGCGCATGCGCGTAACGTTTTTCGTTTCCCTTCTTACCGATTGTTCATCTACTTCCCACTTACTTGAGGTAAAAAATGTGTCCGTGATTTTTTATTAAGATTTTAAATTAATAACGAACAAGCGGAAACCCTGCATGGGCATGAAGACAACGCTCACGGTGGACATGAGCTATGAGCGAAAAAGGATGCTGCTAATGTCTCTACAAAAGTCCGTCAAACAAAAGCACATTTCATTATCCCTTTCATTTTTGTGATACTTAGCAGCATTCATTCTTTGGTATGGCCAATATGGGTTACAGACACATATGGGTATTTACGAATGCCGAGTGTTGCGCAAGGATAAGAAATCCGGTTGCAGGCTGACGACCGACTATCTCCATACCCAGCATTGTCGGGGTTAGAACATAATGCACGCACACACCTACATGCCACGTACGTTGGCACTGTTTCACTCCACGTAAGCATTTATGTGAAAAATTCGTTGCTTGTTTACCATATAAAGCATTGTTTTTCTGTGTAATGTTTTTTATGTAGCGGTTTTTTACCACATCTTCAAGAAAAACACACGTAGAATTACAAATACGGGAGGGCATTTTTACAGTTGGCTCGTACGGATACGGCAAGGGTCTTTCACCCCTCACACTGCATCACACGAGGCGAGTTTAAAGATGATGGGAAGACTTTAGAAGCCGGCTGGGTGTAGAGTTTTGTGTGTGATTTTTTATGTGTATGCGCGCGCGGAATTTTTTTCGGGTATGTGATTACGAGTGAACGAATAACGTGAAAGAGGGATGGAGGGAAGGTGACGAGCAACGAAAATTATTACGTGTTCTGTGCATTCTTATTGTGCTCCTTACGTTATCCTTAGGTAAGCCAGGGGCTGGCGTATTGTAACGGCATTTTTTATGCAAATTTTTGTCCTCATATTAATTTTTTTATCGGGACAGTGTTTGCTCTGGTACCAAGCTGCTTTCGTCACTTTGGAGATATACGCACTAACATACACATATATACATTTATCTTTGCGACACCAGGAAGAAAACTCGGAAGGGCGGAAGCAAAATATAAAAAATATAGCAAAAACACAAATGTGTCATTATTTTTGTTTTTGGTGCAGTATAGGTTTTTTCTTTTGGTAGGGTAAGAATTTCCCAGGACATTTGAAGAAAAAAATACGTTGAGTCCGCGATTGCTATTATAAGAGCACCTATCAAAAGCGAAGTGATTGCATTAATGCAGAAAAAAAGGTAAAGGATGATTGCTCATTATCCACAGACCAAATTAACAAAAGACAAAGTAACCTCCCGTTCTTGCAGATATCTTCTATTTTTTGTATTCGCAGTTTTTTCTATCACCCAAAGTACGACAGTTGTTTAAATACATTTTTTGGCGCGCTTTTCCACTCATTTTGAATATGTAAATTCAAAATTTGTTTTTTAATTTTTAATTTATATTTTTTGTGTGTAAAACTTCATAAGCCAGAATTGAGTTATTGGCTATTTAACTGAAAATGTATAACGAAATTCGGGTATTTGTGTGATTTGTAGGTAAAAACCAAGATAAAAATTGCGTGTTGATTATGGGGTATACAATGTGAGCATTAATGTGATTTTATAATAGATTTAATTTGCTCAGTTAATTTTGTATATTATATTTTCTTTGAAAGATACATCAAATTATGTGAACGCACATTGGATGTTTTCGCTTCGGAGTTTCACCGTGGTCAAACCACAAATAATTTATGTCGGTGTATGCACACGTCCATTGGATATTTATCAAATTAGCTTCAAACGAGTTTTTAGCTAGTCTTTTCCGTTCTCAATACTAATGCATACATACAGGAACATATGCTCATCAAAAATTTATGACAGTTATTGTCATGAATATCCACTTAAGGTGACAATCTTGTGTCACAGCCACCTTCACTGCGATCGCTCAGCCGCATAATCCCACGATCCGGTCAGTTTCTCGTGTCAGTGTTTTCCATTACAAAACACCTCACGTCCGAAAACAAAACTTACTACAATTGTACAAACATCCATACACTTGCATGTAGTCATGCATGTGTACATATATACAGGTGCGTTTGGAATATTTATACATTTGTATGTATATGTGATCACGAGATGTGTAGGAGTTTTGTTTTTAATTTTTATCTTTTCTCCTCGTTATATGTTGGGCTTGTCACTTGCCACGATGTTGTTGGCTATCCCATATGGGCACCGATACTGAATACATGACGTGATTGTTACATCTCAGACAGAGCAGATTGTCGGCGATTGCGCAGATATTTTTCATAGCGGCTTAGTTGCATGCATGTGTACATATAATATGTATGTATATTCTTTGGCATTACATAATGAGTGCCTGCACAAGGCGCGGTACACATGATGTATATTTACCAAAACATACACATGTACATATGTACATACATATATATAATATATATAAATTTAATGCCATATTGACGTGCATATTGCATACTCTTATAAAAAATATGTTAACATCTTGATAACTATTGTTATCACGAAAGTTTTAAAACTCCTCTGGTCTATTGACCATTTATTATTGATCACTTGTTTAAGCCACAAATGTATTTGGACGCATGAGTTTGCTTTCTGAAAGGATCTTTTCTCTGAAATCTCATTTGATGGTAGTATTTTGGATTTGACATACATTCCTGACATAGATTCATAGAAAACTGTGACAAAGTGTACACCTAAGCAACAATACAATATATATATATATGTACGATTTAATATGTATGTAGACGGTGATAGACGATTTTCCCACTCATTTGCGGAAATAGATTTAAACGGCGACAATGAAGAATAAAAACACCCCGAAGCCCAATCGAAAATTGGCATTAATTGCTTTAAATGTCGACTGCTTTTCATGTGCAATTCTTTGCTGATGTCCACTTAGTTGGCGACGGTTGCTTCAGCGCCTCCACAAGTTTAGACAAGAAAGCGGTGGCTTTAAGTTGACATACACAAACACAGACAATAGGTTAGCTACAGTTTGCGAATAGAAATAAATAAGAATATCTACATTCATACGAACTTATGTATGTACATATTTTTGGCGATCGTCTGAGCATTCTAGTTTTGCTTTTAGTGAAGATGCTCACTTCTCTGTAGGACAAGTCGGGATTAGAGCTACATAGCTACATGCTATATATAATACTATAATGACGGCATCAGAAAGGCAGTTGCAACAATACTATCAACAGTAGCGAAGATAATAATAAAAGCAACAATTCCCATAAAATAAGGTTTTGTACAGTAGGTAGATTAATATGGCATGGAAATAGTGCAGCGACCAGCCACATTCGTCCATCGCAATAAAAGTTCGTGAGAACTCGATGATTATCGTTGCTTGCTTTGAAGTTTGTTCAAGTCAAGAACGCCGTTTCCACTACAACACTTGCATGACTTTTGTCCTTTGGTGCGGGGGCTATATGTGTGTATCGTGTATGTACTTGTATGTATATTTGTAAATTTATATGGTATGAGTCGACTACAAATAATGTTTGCTAATTGTTGATACCAAATTTCATAAGTTTCAAAATATATTGCTCGGTAACCACAAACAAATGTATGTAGTTATATACTTATACATATGTAGAACTGTTTCTAAGTTTATTTTTATTCGCTTATTTTCTGGATTAAATTTTAAGTAATTCAAATATATTTACAGATAGATTATTGATTAATTACAAAAACAAACAAAAAACATTTATAACGAAATTGTATATTGTATGACATGATGAATCACTATTATATTCCATCCCTAAAAAGATCTATATATATAAAAATGAAACCCGTTTACCGTTGTCACGCCATAACTTGAGAACGGCTAGACCGATTTGGCTGTTTTTTTTGTAATTTTCTAATACGTTGTAGAAGGTTCTTACGAAAAAAAATATTAAGAAAATGTCTCAGAAAGATTGAAAAAACACATTTAATTTTGCACTAATTTACTAACTTTTGAAAATTACTCGCCACAATTAAATGTACCGACATTGACGGTAATATTAATAAAACATATAACTAAAAATATTGTTTATCAAAAAGAATTAGAATAAACCTCAGAGCAGAGAAGGGTATAGAGGCACCATGTGGGCGTAACCGTGAGAACTCCATATATGTATGTGCAAAACTAACATCAATTCAAATAAAGTTATTAGATGCTTTCTGGAGCGCGCGTGGTAAAAATATAAGTGGAATTAGGAAACCCTATGGAATAAACACTATTATGAAAAATTATATTTTTTTTTATTTAATAAAATTATGAAATTTTGTAAAGTCCTTCTCAGTTATGGCGAGACCAGGGAAATAGGGATTCATTTTTAAATGGAGTATATTATAGATTCCAGTTTAAATTAAATAGGTACTCGTACCTAAGATAGGACAACTGTCAGCTATACAAAATAAAGTAGTGCATCAAAGCTACGCTATGGCAGTACGAAGTTCGCCGGGTCAGCTTGTTATAAATAAAAAAAGACTTTCAATTATATTCAATATTTCTCAATTCCAATGTCAACAATTAGATAGGCTCAATATCTCTCGGGCTTTTATCGTTACTCACTAAGTATGTACTTTTTTAGAACTTATCTTAATTTTGCGGCCTCATCTCAAATAGTAGAAATTGTCTGACTGAAATTCTATATTATTTCTGTTTAGATGATATATTTGTACATATGTATGTACCACAAAATATAGCATTGCAAAAAACTATATGTAGACAAAATTGCTGATATAAATTTTAAGCATCTTTACATATCTAATCGTGTAAAAAAAAGAAACGTCTTTTTAAAAAATTTCAAAATTCAGGTAAACCCAAATAGCCCTCTTGTTTCAACTGTGTACCAAATTGCATTTGCGAATTGGTGAACAGATTTACCCGATTGTGTATGACAGATCACAATCTTCTATTTTGAAGGATATTTCACTTTTAAAAACGCATACATACAAGGTTTTCACATACACGAGCATTATTTTACTTGCTTCAAGGCACACATACAAAGAAGAGCGTTGATGATAATAATAATGCTGCTGGACTGCTACGGATCAAGATCATGATGATGTGCATAAAGAAGAAATTGCATTGTTCACTGATTGATTTTAAGAGTGAGTGCATGAGCAAAAATGTCATATGTATACACATACATACATTCACATGGATTGTAGGTAGTGAGCGTGTAAAAGGTGAAAGTAAAGGAGTTCACAGCACTTCCAAGACCGGGAGCAAACGCACCTGTCCGATTTTCCCATCATCCCGTCGGACACATAATGTTCATACATATGTATGAATGGATTCCAATGAGTGCCTACCATGATGGGAACAATGACACTGAAATTCTATTGTCCTTTTATGCGATCGGATTTATGTGTGCTCAGGAGGTTTATAGCAATACGAAATACGTATAACATTGTCCTACAAGGCGAAATGAGGCGTGGTAACTAGAGCAAGGTGGCAAAAACAGCCAAGTGCACTTGCACACCTTTCTGCAGCGAGTAACTTTACACTCTCGAATAACCTTCCTTCAAATTGGAGTTTTAATTTGGCATATAATTCAAACTGCACAACCATTATTTATAGCTAAGCGTGATCGTATGGAATAAGTCTAACATTAATAAGAGGTCTTAATTATTCACATTCATATATGAGGTTTGTTCAAAACGTATCGTGAATTTTGTGTTTCCTAAGAAAGTGTTTATTTATTCATGAATATCTATTTTGTCCCCTTCAATGTAACCACTTTTAAATATATATAATGCACTTAGCTCAACTTTGGACAGAAACCATTAGAAAATAAATCATGATGTTAGAAAACTGGAGTTAAAAGTATGTCAGATCTTTAATTAAAAATATTTTGTATCAGCCGCTTTAATAATAATTATAACCCAATCGACAATATAGTCTTTTTAATTTTGAAAATGAAGTCAGAAAAATCAAATCTGGAATTTCATTTTAGATTTGAGTGTCCATGTTCCATATTATAATAGTCCAGGAAAAAATAACCTCTCCTACGGCAACTTTTTTCCCAAATGTGTGTAGATATGTTCAAAAGATATCTGAAAAACTTCTCACTGTTAGCTAGCGGAACTTCTTAAGTATTTAAGTTAACGGCTACCCTCATTTCATTAACTGAATATAAATCGCCAGGTGTATTGCGAATTCACACCCGTAACAATAAATACTTAGTACAATAATAGAGCTAGTTTCACACCACCAATGCCGAACTATTATGCTTAGAAAGTCTTATTCGCATGTTCTGCAAAGCGAAAAATTACAGCAACACATTCATATACGAACATATGGATGCATTGAAGTAGCAGCGGAGTTATAGTGGGGCAGAAACGATTGAAATGGGACAGGGGGGACAGGGAATGGTTGCGAGCGCAGAGCCGATGTTGCCTCAAGTGCAAATCTGTACATGGCATTGTACGAAAAACGACGGGATCAGGTCATCACGACCACTGATGTCCACACAATTCGCAAGAGTTTCTCGGTGCAATTGTGTTAGGTATTGGCTCATCAGCTAAGTGCATTTGGAGCACAAATGCGACCCATTGCTTTTCATGGGTGATGACGCCGCGGGCAGCTTCTTGCTAACAGCACAGCAAACAATAGTGAGAACTTTCTCATATTATAAAATCGCGATTGCATTAAAGTGCAGATAGAAATGCCGCAAACAGGTAAGCAGGTTCGCCAACACAGCAGCGCCAAGGGCTAGTAGGTGTTGTGCTTGGCTCTGACCAACTCGATTGTCGTGTCTAAAAGGAACGGCCCAAAACTTGTAGCGCCAGACAACAGTTCAAGATACTTGGCTAGACGGTTTGATTGAAAAAAAGAAATAAGAATCAAAAGCTAACAGAAACCGCAACGTCGTTACAAGAGGAGAAACTGTAAAGTACAAACCTAATGGGAATGTAACAACAAAAATGCATATACACAACGTTATAAATATAAAATGTTACATGCACATGCATGTATGCAACGTACAGTAGCTTTCGACATGCATCTTTATGTGCATCCATTCAATCGTTCAATGTGCAAATAATTTGCTTATGCACACTTGGCACACACATGAGTAAATATAATATGTGAAATATATGAGTGTGTATAAGTTCGTTCATTGAAAAGTTGTAAGCAAAGGTTATTTAGTGTGTAGCAGCCGTTAGTGTAAATCCATATGTATGTATGTCTAATAGAGTCCGACTTGCAATAATTGAATGTGTGAACTTATGTACATATGTACGTATATATATAGATATGTATTAATTCATTGGTGCAAGGCAATTTCCCGCGGAATAATTTAGGCCCGACGTAAAAGCTTTACCTATGAAATGGAAAATCAAATTTTACCTTAAACATTAACAAATACTTACCATAAGTTCAATATGAAATTTCCTGTACATTTTGAGACATTTATCCACCTGCAGGACGTTCAATATACGACTTGTAATATATGTACATATGTATGTACGTGTCGTGCAGGGAAATGAACTAGTTATAAACTAATTTACAATTAGAATGAACTGGAAGCCTCGTAGCCAGCCGAATACATTTTTTCGATACATCATACGAGATAACGATTGTCAGACTTCGAATAAGAAATATACTGTGGGGCCCTAACACATCTGGCAGCCTTTTTTATATTCCATAATTCTTCGTTTTCTCTTCACATCAGCATTTGAGGGAATATTCCAACTGTTACAACTGTTAAATTCTTATAGTTAAACGGTCACACGATATTAAAGTCATGGAGCGCAACAATGCGTAGTCATTCGAACTTTTAAATTTAGAGTTAAGTTTTCAGTTTCAGTTTTAATTATAAGAAAGTTTTGTAACAAAATTAAATTAAATAAAGATATGTAGTAACGTAACTCCCCAAAATACTTTGAAATATACAAAAACAGTACATTATCAAGCAACAACACTGCTTTGGTTAGATAAGAAATGTATAATATAAAAGAAACTCATAATATAAATACACAATAGCCCATAGCTAGGATTTAGTTTCGGGACGGGCCCAAGTCCTGGCAGAAAATTGCTAGTTGACAGAAAGTTAACACTCCAAAGACCTTTCATAATATAGAGCCTTAACTTGTTTGGAACTGCCATTGAATAAAAAAGCTTTCGTTTCAAGTGTTTGCATTTCGTGCTATTTTTCTCATAACTCGGCGAGATATCGATAAAATACAAGTGTGTTTTAATCAACAAATTTCAAATATGTTTCTTATGGTCTTAAGGTATTAACATAACCTTTATGACAATCTGCACTGTATAATCTTATGCTATGATCTATATATATCATGTCTACTGCGTCAAATTAATTTAAGCTCAACAAGTGTGTGGAAGTATTTTCAAACTAACTGTACTGGAGTATTGTGCTGCCTTCCAATAGAGGTTCTTAAAATCCTCTAAAAATGGGGCGCTAACTCAATTGTTTACGTACTACAATATACTTGAAACATTGATTTATAAACTATATTTTTTTATCTTTGGTAATTAAATAATGTAAATCCATAGGGTAAATATTTAAGTTGAAAGTCTGTTTTGGCATTTGTTCCGCCTAAAAGGG